CCCTCCCTTTTATTTAGAGGGAATGTCATCTGCCAAAATAAGCCTTATCTTAGCAGGTACTAACCCCGCCCACCCACCCTTTCCTTTCTTAGAGGGTATGTCATTGCCAAATTCAGTCTCGCAGTACTTGCTAAATTAAGACCAGTTTTTGCAGATGACATACCCTGTAAGAAAAGAGAGGGTGGGTGGGCGGGGTTAGTGCCTACTAAGATAAGGCTGATTTTGGCAGATGACATACCCTCTAAATAAAAGGGAGGGTGGGTGGGCGGGGCTAGTACCTGCTAAGATAAGGCTGATTTTGGCAGATGACATACCCTCTAAAAAAAAGAGAGGTTGGGTGGGCGGGGCTAGTACCTGCTAAGATAAGGCTGATTTTGGCAAATCACATACCTTCTAAGAAAAGGGAGGGTGGGTGGGCGGGTTTAGTACCTGATAAAATAGGAGTGATTTTGGCAAATGAAATATTCTCTAAGAAAATAGAGGGCGGGCGGCTTATCTTATCAGGTACTAGCACCGCCCACCCACCCTATCTTTTCTTAGAGGGCATGTCATCTGCCAAAATCAGCCTTACCTTAGTGGGTACTAGCCCCGCCCACCCACCCTCTCTTTTCTTAGAATGTATGTCATCTGCCAAAATCAGCCTTATCACAGCAGGTACTAGCCCCGCCCACCCACCCTCTCTTCTCCTAGAGGGTAGGTGGACGGGGTTGAACATGGTTGAAAAATATTAACTAAATGTTTTATTACTAGTTATTGTGATAATGAATGTGTTGTTTATTTGTTAAACGTATTGTAAATTTTTAAATCATTGTAACTCCATCAAAATGTGAGAATGAATTTTTTTTGCTATTTTTGCCAGGCTCACCAGTTAGTTAATTGTTAAGAACGTAGCGGAGAATTAATCCGACATTTTCCAGACACCTGGTATATCACCAAAAAAAAAGCGATAAATTAGTAGTAATAATATGGTACGTTTCACCCCACATTTGTTTTTTAATACATATATTATAAAGTACTTCATCCTTTTTAACAGGCGAATTTTGACGTTGAAGTGTTTTTTTTGTATAAAAATCTCAAAGTTTGCGGTTTCTATATGGAGCCGCTGGAATCATATTCGAAATCTTTGGAAATCCACAACTTTTTAAAAAATAACCTTAACAATGGGGTAAAATAACAAAAAAATGCATTTAAAAACTTCACGACAAAAATTGACTTTTTTTATTTTATATATGGTGTTTGCCAAAATCAGTCTTACCTGAGAAAGTGCTAGCCCCGCCCACCCGCCCCTATTTTCCCAGAGGATATGTGATTTGCCAAATTAAGACTTCTCTTAGCAAGTACTAGCCAGTCCGACCCTCTGAGAAAATAAAGGGCGGGTGGGGGGGCTATTACTTGCTAACATAAGTCTTATTTTGGCAAATCACATATCCTCTGGGAAAATAGGGGCGGGTGGGCGGGGCTAGCACTTTCTCAGGTAAGACTGAATTTGGCAAATCTCATATCCTCTGGGAAAATAGGGGGCGGGTGGGCGGGCCTAGTATTTGTTAAGAAAAAACTGATTTTGCCCCAAAATTGGCCAGTTTGCTTAAAAACATGATAAAACACCTTAAAATCGATGAAAAAACAGGTAAGGAAGCTTAAATAGATGAAAAATAAATGAGGAAAAACGCACCACTTTACCTTCTACTGATTTCAGTTTAGAAATTTCATCTAAAATGTCTGATAATCCATTTTTTTTAACTTTGGATTTTTCAATTTTTCAATTTCTCCGCTTCGAAAATTTTCAATTTTTCGTTTCTTCGTTTTTTCGGTTTGTAATTTTTGAATTTTGCAATTTTTCGAGATTACAATTTCTCATTTTAAATTTTTTGTTTAGTCAGTTTTTTAAGTTACTCAGTTTTGTTTTTCATTTTCCGTATTTTTTAATTTTAATGTCCCGATTACATGGAATTTCTGGAACATTTAGAACCTTTATAATGTTTAGAATCTTTGAAATCTTCAATGCCTTTGCAATACTCAGAATCTTAATAATCTTTAGAAATCCTGTAAATTTACAGAATTGTTGGAATTTTTAGAATTTGTAGTATCAGAATTTTTGGAGTTTCTGGAACCGTTGGAATATTTGAAATTTTCGAAATCTTCAATTTTCAAATCTTCAGTCTTCGAAATCTTAACAAACTTTAGAATCCCTAAATATTTTAAATATTTTCAAATTTCTGGAATCTTTAGGGCTTCGAAATATACGGAATTTTTGAAATTTCTGAAATTTCTGAAACTTTTGGGATCTCTGTAATTTTCTGAATCCTCGGAATCTTTCAAGTCTTCAGATTTTTTGTAATCTTCAATTTTTAAAATACTGTAAATCTTCAGAATTGTCGGAATCTTTAGAATCTTTAGTATCAGAATTTTTTGAATATCTGGAACCATTGGAATATTTGAAATTTTCAATTTTCAAATCTTCAGTCTTCGAAATCTTAACAAACTTTAGAATCCCTAAATATTTTAAATCTTTTCAAATTTCTGGAATCTCTAGGGCTTCGAAATATACGGAATTTTTGATGTTTCTGAAATTTCTGAAACTTTTGGGATCTTTGTAATTTTCTGAATCTTCGGAATCTTTCAAGTCTTCAGATTTTTTGGAATCTTCAATTTTTCAAATACTGCGAATCTTCAGAATTGTCGGAATTTTTAGGATCTTTAGTATCAGAATTTTTGGAATTTGTGGAACCATTGGCATGTTTGAAATCTTCGAAATCTTCAATTTTCAAATCTTCAGTTTTCGAAATCTTAACAAACTTTAGAATCCCTAGAATCCCTAAATATTTTAAATCTTTTCAAATTTCTGGGATCTCTAGGGCTTCGGAATATACGGAATTTTTGAAATTTCTGAAATCTCTGAAACTTTTGGGGTCTTTGTATTTTTTTTTAATCTTCCGAATCTTTCAAATTTTTAGATTTTTTGGAATTTTCAATTTTTCAAATACTGTGAATCTTCAGATTGTCGGAATCTTTAGAATCTTTATTAATAATATTTATTAATCTTTTATTGTCCCGATTTTATATTACAATTTTTCCTTTTTTTACAAACCTTACTTTTTCAGTGTTTCTTTCGACTTTATAAATTTTCTTTTATACAATTTTTAAAATTTTCATTCTCGATTTTTCACTTCGCCGATTTTCCAATTTTTAAATTTTTGAATTTTTCAATTAACCAATTTTCCGATTTCTTTCATTTTCAATATATTGATTTAGCAATATTTCTTCTTTGCGGTTTTGCACTCTTCCGATTTTTCAATTTTTCGTTTCTTCAATTTTTCAATTTCTTGATTTTTACTTTTCATTTTCCCGATTTTTTAATTTTTATTTTCTAGATTTCGTATCACAATTTTTCGTTTATTCAATTTTTCGACTTTTTAATCTTTCGGTTTTAGTACGTTTCACCCCGCATTTTGTTTTTTAATTTATTATAAAGTGCTTTATCATTTTTAACAGGCCAATTTTGACGTTGAAATATTTTTTCATTTTTATTTTTTCATTCTTTTTATAATAATCTCAAAGTCAGAGGTTTCTATTTGCATCTGCTGGAATCATGGTCAAAATCTTTAAAAACCACAACTTAAAAAAAATAACCTTAAAAATGGGGTGAAATGTAAAAAAAATGACACGAACAAATTTCATTAACGATTTACCATGCTTACGATAACCTAAAACGTTTCCAAAATTGCAGAGCTTTTTCAAAGTTAAATTGCAACATATTGTAATTTAGAATTTTTTTCTTCAAAAAAATCTGGATGTGCACTCTTCCAACTCTATGTATAGTTTAATTTTTCTGAAAACTTTTGCTCTTGAAACATCCTAGACAACTACTAGCCTGTTTTGGAGCTTAAACAATAAAACTACAAAGTTTGTAGTGGAGAAAGCCCACAAATAAGCTTGCTGCGGTAATCAATGTTGATGTGATCACCGCAGACCTCCGGGTGTAATTAAAATAAATAAATGATGGGGGTGATTTCAGCTGGACCAAAATAATGGACCGACCGAGACTTGCTTCCATTATTTATTCAAGTGATCTTCGGCGTGTAAACAAAATAATTTATTTTGGGCAAAACTGTGTTCTTTGCGTTAATGTTGATTTATTGCGCATTAATCTCCAAGCAGCAGTTGGTAAAGTTTCACAGAAAAGGGTTGCCCACTATTTTTTGACCGTCCCCGGTATGTCAATATTTACCAACTATGCATTTCGAATTACACACGATCACAAAGAATTCTTTTCGACGCCTGCAGCCATAAACCGCGTTTTTAAGCCGCACTTTAAGCCCACTGCACGTAAAAACTTTCTTATTATGTTACTCGAGATTTAATCCTCGTCTTTCTCTGTCGGTCCCCCGCAAAGAAACTCCGAAACAAAGAGCGAGTGTGTGCGGAGAACAAAGTTTTAGATGAATTGTGTGTAGATAAGTTATAAACTTTACGAATAGTTTTATGGTTGCTCCAGACATGCCATTTCATCGAAGAATTTCCACTTGTTACAGGTCTATGGACTCATTCGAGCAGAAACATGTACGCTTGAGAGGGGAAACTCCGTGTAATTTGTTTGCTACGAGGGACCATTATGTGTATATCTTTTTCCATACGCGGGGTACATATTTACTTTTATTAGTTCATTGTTAAAAGTGCGTGGTGTTCAATGTAGTAGATAAACTAGGGACGGATTTATAACCGCTCCAAAACACTCACGAGATCGGATCATGAAAGGAGAGTTTCGATCCAAGAAATTGAAAATGTTCGAATTTTTATGAAGCACTTCACAATAACGATATTGGGAATGGTAATGGGAAACCTTGAGTTCGAGCTCACTTTTATTTCTTTTGTGCAGATTGTTGGTTTCTGTTTGTTCGGAAGTCTTACCGACGGAAAATCGCATCTAGCTAAATGCTTATTTACCGAATGTACAATACACAAACACAACTACCATAGAAGAATTCTTTATTGGTGACGTCTGTACACTTTCATATAATATCTCATTTGAGAGGTGTATGTACATTTTTCTATCTCTAGCATGAACCATCCTCTTATTTACACTTAGTTAAATATTGTGGTCGATGCACGTTCTGTCTTGAAGCGATTACGTGGCTTTAAATATTTAAGCAAGACAGAAGACACATCTTGTAAGCAAATCCTTTATACGTAGTATAAAAAGTGTACGTAAAACGAACGTGTAGAGTGAAATTTGTTGCAAGAGCAACTAAGCATCGGCAGCTCCGTATTTGATCAGAAAACAAAGTCTTTGTTGTTTTACGAAATGATATCGTCGCTTTCGACTTCGCTCCAATGTCCGGAATCTACAATATGTTTAAACAAGTCCGGAGGCTGGTGCAGTTCAGGTCATATTTCAAGAATGGTGTCCTGTTCGGCTAAACTATCCGAAAGGGAGTGACTGCTGCCGGGAATAGGCTCGGGGAGTCCGTCGTCCAGAACTTCGGTAACTTCTTCGAATTTACTGCTGCAAAAAAAATCTCACTTCAGGGACTATTCCCGATATACAGGATGATCGATTAGGGCGCTTAAACTACGAAATAAAAATGTGTAGGAATTTTATCGAAAATCGAACGTGAATAGCGCGCATAAAGTAATGTCGTTATCGAGTTTCCTATTTGCAGTTTAGACTTCTAGATTTGATATGTACGCATGAATGAAGGTTGAAAAGAGTAAACACAGAACAAAACGAATCACCGTCACTGAAGTCATTTTGGAAATTCCATTCTCTAGAGATCTCGTTTTTATAGCTCTAAGTCAAACGGGTATCCAATTCCTCGAGATATGTATCGGCTATTTTTAGGTTTAAACCAATTCCTGATATTTATTGTATTAGGAAGTGATTTTGATTAAGTTTGTGAGTGGATGGGTCAGTTGGGACGTGGTTATTTCCCGAAGGGCCGTCCTCGTAAAGTCGGGAATTCACATAATTTAACGTACGAGGAATTCTTCTTGTACAACTTACCCAATTTAATTCAATGTTACCACAACCCCACGTTATAATTTTAAATTTCCAAACTAACAACACTATCTGATTGATTGATCGCGCGTCCCGACGCATTTCGTCACATTATCCCCTTGAAATCTTTGATCGATGATTGCGTTTCCGCCCAGCTTATTTTACTTTACTTGAGTTTAATTTTCGTCGAAATGGTCCAAAGTTCTAACCCGCCCAGCCCGTATGAATCGTATTGACAAAGCAAACCTTTCGAAACTGTCAATATCGCCGTGAATCAGTCTATCTTTTCGTTTCCTCCGTCTGCGTCCTTTGAAGGATAATACAATATGGAAGAAGGCCAGCGCGACGAGCTGCCCCGCCGCCACGTATGAAAGCCAGAGCTTGTGAGGACAAATGAGGGGCACGGCTCCCATGGGGGCGTACAGGAGGCTCTTCTTCCACCCTTCGAGCCACGTGAAGATCGACCAGCAGCGGAAAAAGCGGCTCTCGGTCCTGAAACGACAAAAATCACTTGATTGTGTTTGATAAAATTAATTTACAATAAAATTTAAAGGCAAAGTTAAATAGAGAAAGGTTAAAAATGGTGGAGGCGCCGGTTAGAGTACTTATGCAACACAGCTGTGTATTGTTGGTTGCCTGCATCAAAATAAAATTTAATTATTTATTGAATTAAAAAATTGGTTGAAAGTTATGCTGATTTTTCTTAATATACGTAGTCTTTCATAATAAGAAACTTAAAACATGTTTAAAATGGTATTTTTTTTGTAGGGAACTATCGATTTTGCATTTATGCCCCTCGGTCTGACAATGAATGAAAAAATTGATCACAATTGAGATAGGTCGAGCTTTCTTTTTTATTTAAAACACATAATTTCCTCTGAACAACACGATTATCTACTTAAGTTTATGTTTCACTTGTAATTTCTTGGAGAAAAATTTGAAAAATACAAAAATGCATCACAAATGTGATAGGCGGGTGGGCGGGGCATATATTTTGCTTTTTTTTTTTTAATACGCGTCCAAGAATCGTTAATTGACATTGCCAGTTTGTATGATTTTTTTAAAAATTGACTTTAAAACCGACTATAAAATTTAGTTTTGCAATTTTTGTTGTGAGAACTTCTATAAAGTAAAAAATAATCAGTGTAAAATTAATTAATAAAACTCAAGAATAGACTCAAAATATTTTGCACATTTTTGTTTGGACTTTAAAAAAAAAAATTTGGAATCGTGGAATCTTCAAATATACAGAACTTTCGAAGTTTCTGGAATCTCTGCAACTTTTGGGATCTTTGTAATTTTTTGAATCTTCGGAATCTTTCAACCCTTCAGATTTTTTGGAACCTTCAATTTTTCAAATACTGTGAATCCTCAGAATTGTCGGTTTTTAGAATCTTCAGTGTCAGAATTTTTGGAATTTCTGGAACCGTTGGAATATTTGAAATTTTCGAAATCTTCAATTTTCAAATCTTCAGTCTTTGAAATCTTAAGAAACTTTAGAATTCCTAAAATCCCTAAATATTTTAAATCTTTTCAAATTTCTGGAATCTCTAGGGCTTCGGTATTTACGGAATTATGAAATTTCTGAAACCTCTGAAACTTTTGGTAATTTTCTGAATCTTCAGAATCTTTCAAGTTTTTAGATTTTTTAAATTTTCAATTTTTCAAATCTTGTGAATATTCAGAATTGTCTGAATTTTTAGAATCTTTAGTATTAGAATTTTTGGAATTTCTGGAACCGTTGGAATATTTGAAATCTTCGAAATCTTCAATTTTCAAATTTTCAGTCTTCAAAATTTTAGGAAACTTTAGAATCCCTAAATATTTTAAATCTTTTCAAATTTCTGGAATCTCTAGGGCTTCGTAATGTACGGAATTTTTGAAATGTCTGAAATCTCTGAAACTTTTGGAATCTTTGTAATTTTCTGAATCTTCGAAATCTTTCAAGTCTTCAGATTTTCTGGAATCTTCAATTTGTCAGATTCCGTGCATATGTAGAAGTGTCAGCATTTTTCGAATTTTTAGTATCAGAATTTTTGGAATTTGTGGAACCATTGGAATGTTTGAAATCTTCGAAATGTTCAATTTTCAAATCTTCAGTGTTCTACATCTTCAAAACCTCCAGAATCCTTAGAACCTTCAGAATGTTCAGATTCTTAGAATCTCTCAAATCTCTGGAAACTCTAGACTTTCGTAATATCCAGAATTTTTGGAATTTCTGTAACATTTGGAATCTTTATAATGTTTAGAATCTTTGAAATCTTCAATGCCTTAAGATTTTTTTGAAATATTTAGCCTTTGAAATACTCAGAACCTCCAGAATCTTAAGAAACTTTAAAATCTTAACAAATCCGTACGTAATATCTGGAATCTCTGAAACTTTTGGGGTCTTTGTAATTTTATGAATCTTCGGAATCTTTCAACTCTTCAGATTTTTTGGAATCTTCAATTTTTCAAATTTCTTTAGTATCAGAATTTTTTGAATTTCTGGAACCGTTGGAATATTTGAAATCTTCAATTTTCAAATCTTTAGTCTTCGAAATCTTAACAAACTTTAGAATCCCTAGAATCCCTAAATATTTTTTTTCTTTTCAAATTTCTGGAACCTCTAGGGCTTCGGAATATACGGAATTTTTGAAATTTTTGAAATCTCTGAAACTTCTGGGATCTTTGTAATTTTCTGAATCTTCGGAATCTTCAACTCTTCAGATTTTTTGAAATCTTCAATTTTTCAAATCGTGTGAATATTCAGAATTGTGGCAATTTTTAGGATCTTTAGTGTCAGAATTATTTTAATTTCTGGAACCGTTGAAATATTTGAAACCTTCAATTTTCAAATCTTCAGTCTTCGGAATCTTAACAAACTTTAGAATCCCTAGAATCCCTAAATATTTTAAATTTTTTCAAATTTTTGGAATCTCTAGGGCTTCGGAAAATATGGAATTTTTTAAACTTCTGAAATCTCTGAAACCTTTGGGATCTTTGTAATTTTCTGAATCTTCGGAATTTTTCAAGACTTCAAGATTTTTTCGAATTTTCAATTTTTCAAATCCTGTGAATATTCAGAATTGTCGGAATTTTTAGAATCTTTAATATCAGAATTTTTGGAATTTCTGGAACCGTTGGGATATTTGAAATTTTCGAAATTTTCAAATCTTCAGTCTACAAAATTTTAGGAAACTTTAGAATCCCTAGAATCCCTAAATATTTTAAATCATCTCAAATCTCTGGAAACTCTAGACTCTCGTAATATCCAGAATTTTTGGAATTTCTGGAACATTTGGAACCTTTATAATGTTTAGAATCTTTGAAATCTTCAATGCCTCCAGATTTTTTTGAAATCTTCGGCCTTTGAAATACTCAGAATCATCAGAATCTTAAGAATCTTTAGAAACTTTAAAATCCTTACAAATCCGTACGTAATATATGGAATCTCTTAAAATTTTTGGAATCTTTGTAATTTTCTGAATTTTCGGAATCTTCCAAGTTTTTAGATTTTTTGGAATTTCCAATTTTTCAAATCCTGTGAATTTCAGAATTGTCTGAATTTTTAGAATCTTTAGTATCAGAATTTTTGGAATTTGTGGAATCATTAGAATATTTGAAATCTTCGAAATCTTCAATTTTCAAATCTTCAGTCTTCAAAATTTTAGGAAATTTTAGAATCCCTAACTATTTTAAATCTTTTCAAATTTCTGGAATCTCTAGGGCTTCGGAATATACGGAATTTCTGAAATTTCTGAAATCTCTGAAACTTTTTGAATCTTTGTAATTGTCTGAATCTTCGGAATTTTTCAAGTCTTCAGATTTTTTGGAATCTTCAATTGTTCAAATACACTGAATCTTCAGAATTGTCGGAATCTTTAGAATCTTTAGTATCAGAATTTTTGGAATTTCTGGAACCTTTGGATAATTTGAAATCTTCAGTCTTCAAATTCCTAGGAAACTTTAGAATACCTAGAATTCACTAAATATTTCAAATCTTTTAAAATTTCTCGAATCTCTAGGGCTTCGGAATATGCGGAAATTTTTGAAATTTCCGAAATTTCTGAAACTTTTGGTATCTTTGTAATTTTTTGAATCTTCGGAATTTTTCAATTCTTCAGATTTTTTGGAATCTTTAATTTTTCAAATACTGTGAATCTTCAGAATTGTCGGAATCTCTAGAATCTTTAGTATCAGAATTTTTGGAATTTCTGGAACCTTTGGATAATTTGAAATTTTCAGTATTCAAAATTCTAGGAAACTTTAGAATCCCTAGAATCCCTTAAATATTTCACATATTTTCAAATTTCTGGAATCTCTATTGCTTTGGAATATGCAGAATTTTTGAAATTTCCGATATCTCTGAAACTTTGGAATCTTTGTAATTTTTTGAATCTTTGGAATTTTTCTAGTCTTCAGATTTTTTGGAATCTTTAATTTTTCAAATACTGTGAATCTTCAGAATTGTCGGAATCTCTAGAATCTTTAGTATCAGAATTTTTGGAATTTCTGGAACCTTTGGATAATTTGAAATCTTCAGTCTTCAAAATCCTAGGAAACTTTAGAATTCCTAGAATCCCTTAAATATTTCAAATTTTTCAAATTTCTGGAATCTCTAGGGCTTCGGAATATGCGGAATTTTTGAAATCTCCGATATCTCTGAAACTTTTGGAATTTTTCTAATTTTTTGAATCTTCGGAATTTTTCTAGTCTTCAGATTTTTTGGAATCTTCAATTTTTCAAATACTGTGAATCTTCAGAATTGTCAGAATCTTTAGAATCTTTAGTATAAGAATTTTTGGAATTTCTGGAACTTTTGGAAAATTTGAAATCTTCAGTCTTCAAAATCCTAGGAAACTTTAGAATCCCTAGAATCCTTTAAATATTTCAAATCTTTTCAAATTTCTGGAATCTGTAGGGCTTCGGAATATGCGGAATTTTTGAAATCTCCGATATCTCTGAAACTTTTGGAATTTTTGTAATTTTTTGAATCTTCGGAATTTTTCTAGTCTTCAGATTTTTTGGAATCTTCAATTTTTCAAATACTGTGAATATTCAGAATTGTCGGAATTTTTAGCATCTTTAGTATCAGAATTTTTGGAATTTGTGGAACCATTGTAATATGTATTTGAAATCTTCGAAATCTTCAATTTTCAAATCTTCAGTCTTCGAAATATTCAAAACCTCCAGAATCCTCAAAACCTTCAGAATTTTCAGATTCTTAAAACCTCTAAAATCTCTGGAAACTCTAGACTCTCGCAATATCCAGAATTTTTGGAATTTCTGAAACATTTGGAACCTTTATAATGTTTAGAATCTTTCAAATCTTCAAATTCGAAATTCAGTATTCACACTGTCAAATTTTCCGGTTCATTTATTTTTAAAGTATTCTCTAAAAAAATTATTCAATGAAAATTAGTAATTTCAGTAAACAAAATTGAAATTACCTCCGTAAATATTCAAAATTTTGAGTTTCAATAACTCGAGATTTCGAAATTCAGGAGACTTGAAATTCAGAAGCAGGAATCCACATTTAGAATAGATTTCTTAAATTTAACGATTTTCGTTTTTTATGATTTCAAAAATTCAAAAGTTGGTAGTTTTCGGATTTTGAAGGTAACATAATAATCTGAAAATTTGAATGTATGAAATTGCCAGATTGTTTGATTTAAGATTAGTTTGCCAAAATTCCGAATTTCCAAGGTAGAAAAATTGGAAAATTTCAGGTAAAATTAAGTTTAAAAAGTTCGAAATTCAGTGTTCATGATTTCAAAATTTTCAAATTATTTGTTGCTTTTTTCGCCTTTTTTGACGTTTTCGTGGCTTTTTAATAACCTTTTTTTTACCCTATATAAGGGACAATTCTGAATAAAACCTGTTAAAATTTAATAATAGTTGTTAAAAATAAACAGCCAATCAGATTTAGGAATTTAACTCGTTACTACGAAAATTTGCAATTTTTTATGGAATGCTCCTATTGTGGCTTAGTTTTGTCGCTTTTCGCATTTGATTTCCTTTTCCTTCGACGCCTTATGTAACCTTTTTTATTACAATTTTTTGGCGTCGTTCTATCACTTTTTGTCAGATTTTTTGGGCTTTTTATACCTTTTTATCTCTCTTTTTTCGTACTTTCCTTGTAATCCAATTTTCATTTTTTGTTATTTATTTTTATCGTCCATTTTTCTTCTTTTTTCAACTTTTCGTTGTTGCTTTTTTCGCTTTTTTTTTGGATGTTTTTTGTGGATTTTCAGCCGCTTTTTTGGATTTTTTATCGTCTTTCTCTGTCGTTTTTTTTAAGGCCTTTTTGGTCATCTTTACTGTCACTTCTGTCCCTCTTAAATGGTTTTTCTGCTCGATTTTTTAGTTGATATTTTGTCTCTTTTTTAATCCCTCTTTTCGACTTTTTTTGTAACTTTTTTCGTCTTTTTTGACTTTTTTATGGCTTTGGTCTCCTTTTCCCCTCTTTCTTGACTTTTTTCCCTTTCTTATTGCGTTTTTTTTTTGTGAAATTTTTGACTCTTTTTTTTGTCTCTTTTCTCCTTTATTGTCAATTTTTATTAGCCTTTTTTTCTTTTCTATCTCCTTTTTTTAATCTTTTTTTTTGGGTATCGTGACCTTTTTCGTTTTTTTTCAGTGGCTAGTCATGTTCTTCTTTCGAGTGGGAATGAAAACTCATAATACAATCTAGAATGTGAAAAAACTAAAAAAATAAGCGCTAATCGTAATTTTTTTGTTACACTATCGCGGATTAGAAATCTCGCTAAAATCGGATTGAAAATAAATTTCAAATGTCTTTAGCGAATTTTCGAAATGGTTGAAAAGAGTCGAAAATTTCAAAAGTGCCAAAATCAGTCTTATCTTATCAAATACTACCCCCGCCCACCCGCCCTCTTTCTCTTAGAAGATATGTTATTTGCCAAAATCAGTTTTTTCTTAGCAAGTACTAGCCCCGCCCACCCGCCCTTAATTTTTTTGGAAGGTATGCCATTTGCCAAAATCAGTCTTATCTTATAAAATGCTCTCCCCGCCCACCCGCCCTCTTTTTCTTAGAGGGTATGTTATTTGCTAAAATCAGTTTTATCTTGGCAAAATTTATTCTTTGTAACTTAAACTTTGTAAATTAAAATTTCAGTACCCAGAATTGTAATTACCGGTGCAAATATTCAAAATTTTGAGTTTCAGTGACTCATTTTCAGCATTCAGAAGATTTGAAATTCATAAACAGAATTCCCTCGTTTAAGACTTTATTACAATCTGCATTTCAATAGATTAAATTTAGCGATTTTCGAATTTCATATTTCGAAATTTAAAAATTCGGTAGTTTCGGATTTTGAAGTTTCATAATTTTGAAATGTCAAGATTTAAAAATGCTGAAAATTTAGATGTACGAAATTCCCAGATTGTTGATTTAAGATTCGTCTGCCAAAATTCCGAATTTCCAAGGATCAAAACATTTATTCTTTGTAACTGAAACTATGAAAAAAAAATGTACCGAATTTCCAAATTATTTTATTTAAAATTCGATTGCCAAAATTCCAAATGTTCAAGCTTTAAAACTTGGAAGTGTCATGAAAGTCACAAAATTTCAAATAATAATAAATTTAAAAAAATCGAAATTCAGAATTTGTCTACAAAAATGTACCATTTTAAACATGTTTTAAGTTTCTTGTTGTGAAAACATGACTACGCATATTTAGAAATTAGCCAAAATATAAGCCCCGCCCACCCGCCCTATCTCAGTTGTGGCGATTTATTTATTCGTCGTACGTCGGGGGGCGGAGCTTAATTGCAATATCCTTATATTTTTTCGTACTCTAGGACAATTTCAAAATATTGTTGTGCAATTTTGATTTTTTTCCAAAAATCTACAGTTTCCGACAAACAATTTCAAACATCACTTTTCTGTAATGTCAAAAATTTTAATGTAGTCTATGCTTTATTGTCATTATTTCGGACAGCTGGAATGTCAAACTTTCAAAATTCCAGCTTACGCTACAACTACATTCATGTAAGTGTCAAATGTAAAAGTTAAAAATGACTGTCAAATATATAGGTTAGAAACATCTAAAGGTTGCTTTACACTATCTGACGACTGAATGACATTGACGTCTGAATTTTTTTGGCGGCAACTGTATATACCAAGGGTAAAAACAAAGAACTAAAATTTATTCCGCAGAATGGTAAGATGACGTCTTCATTTCTTGGGAAGACCATAAACGAATCAATTTTGATTCAATATTTATTATACTACAAAACAAGAAACTATAATTAATAATTAAATCGAGATTACTAAATCCATTACATTTTTCACACATGTGTATTGCTGGTTGCCTGCACACCTCACCGGAATTAAACGATAATTTAAAAGAAAAATTTTGCCACAAAAACGTTGAAAACCCGGCCTGGAAAATCGCTTTTCAAATAATATAATTCCTCCCTCCGGCCAGATTAATATGTAAGTGTCGTAGCACCTCTGGCAAAGAATTTGAAACATAACGTAATATTTTAAGTGTATTATAAAAGAAACTAGAGTTTTCCTTTTTGAAATGTTTTATTCAACACGTAGTGGCTAAATTCCAGTGTTTTTCCTAATCCAGTCTCTGTAATAAGCAGTCCGGGTGTTCCCTGCTGGGTAAGGGTATTCGCAACCGTAGCCATTAATAAAACTGAAAATGGCGACGTGGACTGGATCCGACTCGATATTGACCACAACAGGAGCCCCACTATCTCCGAAACAAGGACTCTTCACAGGATCTCCAGGACTTGTACACACCACTCCAGACGTAACTCTTTGGTAACCATAAATTCGTTCACACTCTATATTTTCTATTGTGGAAAGAGATATGTAATTGAGGACTTCGCTGTAGGGGTTACCATCGCTTATTTCTCCCCAACCACTCACTGTAACAGTGGTGTTAGCCTCAAGCTCTTCATCCCCTAACATTATAGGTCGGGTATTATCTAAAAACTACTCTGATTTTTTTTTCTCACTCGAATTTAGATATCACCGTCTAAAATTAGTGGTTTTTGTAGTCGTATTAATCCAACATCGTGGTTTAAAAATTCCGGTACGTAATATTCGTGAAGAATAAATTCTTCAGCTCGACTTGTGGTTCGATTGGGGGAATTCAAGTTCACAGACCCTGAATAAATGGTGGCCGATTTGGCTCTACAAAAATTAACTAGACTAAACACAAACTTATTTAAATGTGGTACCCGTCTACACAGTGTCCAGCTGTTAACACCCATGATTCACTAATCAAGGCACCACCGCACAGGTACGTGGGTATGGTAGCCGATTTGCCCATGATTGCCACCTGCCACGGGAACTGCCCATCTTTGGCTTCGTCACCATTTACAATTCGTGTACCTTTGAGGGATGTAACCCTAGTTGATAAAACACACAAATATTTAATACACGAATAAAGTTAAGAAACCAGACATCGTGCCCAGAAAAATACTATTTTGATATAGTTACTAGTTTAATTTAACTTAGTTAAGATAAGCGAATATCTAAGTTAATTGTGATAACGAACTTTGCGAACTTTTGATTGAAAAGGGATTTGTGAGGTATTAAATCGGATTAGAGTGGAATGATGAGGGGTATGACGACGAAACATTGTCTGGGTTCAGCTTTAATCATCAGACGAAATCAATTAAGAACCAGATCAGTATTAAAACAACTTTTATAAAAACTTGCTCTTCACAAAAATTGTGATTCAGTAGGTTAATTAGTTAATTAACTTTAATACTGTTTTACTTTACCGATTGTACGGTGTGTTAGTAAAAATTCCCTTGAACCGCGTCCAGCACGAAAAAGTGACTTCCGTTCCTGACAGACAAAACTTAATTGCACAAAATTCGTCTCTTGAAAAGATTCAGCAGTTTATGTAATTGCGGCAGCATTTTGCAGTGGTTCATAATTCAGGAAAGCCCGCAAAAAGACCTGAAATATTTTAGTGTCCTTTTGGTTTGGTGTGTGCTCGGATGCATCGCGTGTGTGGGCTAAACCCGACAAATGTGGTTCTCGCAGGAATGTTTTATTGTTCTGGGAAAAAGGGTGGAGGGAGCGAGTACACAAAGGGAAGTGGGCAAAAAGAAGGCAAAAATAGTGTTTTTAGTGTTAGTTCGCGAGCGATTTCTGGTTGCAAGAGTTTCGAGCTCATCGCGGGATTATTTACCCGAGGAAACACGGCTTAAAAATAAAATATTAGTTATGGCTTTACGGATCCCGACTTCAAATATTACCGAACGGTCATAAAACATGGGGTCTATCAATTTCGAATAAATGGCTTTTTTATTAGCTCGGATGTGGAAACATATCAGCGTTTTGCGACTTCGGAATATTATTTATTTTATATTACTTGGGGGAAGGTCGGTATTATAAAATATGTTATTTTGTTTCAATTTTGTTTATTGTTGGAGATGCTAACCGATAAATTTGACGCACTTTTTCTGGAAAAGCGTTTCATAATCCACATGTCTAGGAGTAGGTATTATATTTTATAAAATTTAAATAATATTTATTAGAGATGATGAAAGCCATGACTTGTAATTCCTGAATGAGAAAACTTTAAATTAGACATTCCTCAAAATGATCTTTGAATATTTCGATAGAGGGAAAGTACGAAACTTAGTTATAGGTTAAATAACTTCAAACATCACTTCACACTTAAAGTTTGTGTCTTGCATAACTAATTGTAGGTCAACCATGCACTTATGTTCATCATACAGTGTCGGATTGAGGACATGGGGTCCACCGGGAAATTTCCAAAGTGGGGCAAAGACAAATCAAGGAGATATAGAGATGGAGGAGGTCAAGAAGAGATTAGCGAACTCGTGACACAAATCAGAAATGATATGAGAGAAAGTAATAAACAATTATTGAAGGAGTGGAATACACAGCTTAAAGAGGAGCTTAAAACAATAAGAGAAGAATTAAAGCAAGCAAGAGATCAATTTCAGGAGCAAAATCAAGAAATTAGAGATAAGCATGAAGAATGGAAGCGAGCTAAGGAAGAAATGGGAAAGAGAGCGGGTAAAGTAGAAAGTCAACTAGATCTAGAAGAAACAAAGTAGTGATGATGGGATTGGAAATAGGAACAGGAGAGCAGAAGCAGATAATTGAAAAGGTGACAAAATTTTTAGAAGAGAAAGCCGAAGTAGAGAGTAAAGTTAAAAATATAAAAAATAAATGAAAAAGGGGAGAGCAAACGGGAGAATAGCAATGGGAATTCGAAAAAAAAAATGCAAGAATTGGAAAAGGGAAGTAATATTAAAAACGGACTAATGAAGAAAGTAATACAGCTAGAAAAGGAAACAAAAGAAAAAGGAGATGAAAAAATACTTATGGGAGAGAATTTTAACGCAAGTTTGTTCGATAAGGGGACAAGAATAATAGATAAAGAAAAGGGAGAGAAAAGAGGATCAAAAAACAAAGCAAATAACAAAGAAGGGAAAATATTGTGGAAGATAACAGAAGAAATGGGATGGGAAATTTTGAATGGAAACAAAGGAGATGAAGAAGGAGAATGGACGTACGTAGAGGCCAGGGGAGAATTAGAGAGTTTCAAAGTGGGGGAAAGGGTAGAATCACACCACATGCCACTAGAAATAAAAATCAAAGGAAAAGAGCAAGAGTACGATGGTAATTTCACGCAGAAAAGTGAGAATTTTACAATTAAGCTCCACCCCTTGGCTTACGACGAATAAAAAAAATCATCAGAATTGAGACAGGGCGGGTGGGCGGGCCTTATATTTTGCCTTTTTTTTCTTAATATGCATAGCTATTTTTTCATAACAAGGAACATAACATAGTCGTCTTTTCAGAACAAGAAACTTAAAACATGTTTAAGACGGTAAATTCTTTTAGACAAATATGGATCTTGCAGTTAAGCTCCGCCTTCTTGGCTCACGACGAATAAAAAAATATCACAATTGAGATAGGGCGGGTGGGCGGGGTTTATATTTAGCCCTTTATCTTAACATACGTAAACATCTTTTTAGAATAAGAAACTTATAACATGTTTAAAATTGTATTTTGCATATTTCTTTCAATTTTGTGACTTTTTTAGTTTTTCGATTCTTCAATTTATCTCCTATTTTTTTCTATATTTGGCTTTTGGGATTTGTTAGTATTTCGACTTTTCGATTTTTCGAGTTCTGAATTTTTCGATTTCTCGACTTTTACTTTTTGGATTTTCAATTTTTCGCTTTTTAAATTTTAGATTTTTCAATTTTTCGCTTGTTTTTATACCTCGAATTCTCAATTTTTCAACTTTTCGATATTTTAACTCTCCAGTTATTAAAATTTTCGGTTTTTTGATTTCTCGAGTTTTCAGTTCTTTTTCTCGATTATTAAATTTTAGATTTTCAAATATTTGTTTTCTGATTTTTTTCATGTTTGGATTTTTCAATATTTGAATTTTCCCATGTTTTAAATTTTCGATTTTTCAATTTTTTGAGATCTCGATTTACCGAGATTCGGATATTTAGATGTTTTGATTGTTTAGTCTCCTGATTTATCAATTTTTCCACTTTTAACTTTTCGATTTTGGCCTATTTTGGTTTCCCAATTTTTCGATTTCTCGACTTTTCGACTCCTCGATTTCTCGCAGTTTTTGAATTTTTCAAATGTACGTTAAAATATAATTTTATTAATTTTAAAAATACATAACAAATGATTTTACAGAATAAGTACAAATTTTGAAAGTGGAACCGATTTTCCAACTTGGACGCCTCAAACTTTCTTTCCAAAAAGAAAGTGTAATGATTTTTCTCCGCTCACCATCCCTAGACGAATAAAAAGATTAATCACAATTGAAATGGGGCGGGTGGGTGGGGCTTATCCTTTGATTTTCTTAATATGCATAGTCTTCTTTCAACAATAAAATACTTAATACATCAAATGGTATTTCTTGTTGAAAATAGATACATATTAAGAAAAAGTAGCCAATAATTAAGCCCCACCCACCCGCCCCTATCTCAATTCTGATAAATTTTTCATTCGTTATCCGATAGAGATTTTTAAATTTTTCGATTTTTCAAGTCTTCAATATTATTTAATTTTTCAAATTTTGACGTTTCTAAATTTTCAGTTTTCGGATTTTTCAATTAATCTATTTTTGATTTTCCCATTTCTCAACTTTCCAATGTTTCGATTTTTCAGTTTCTCAGTTCTTCAATTTTGTGGTATTTCAGTTTTTCGATTCTTCAATTTTTCTTCTATTTTTAAATTTCTCGATGTTTCAGTTTTGGGAAATTTTAGTATCTAGACTTTTCGATTTTTCTAGTTCTGGAATTTTCGATTTTTCTAATTCTGGATTTTTCTTCGATTTTTCGACTGTTTACTTTTTGGATTTTAAATTTTTCGTTTTTTTAAGTTCGGGTTTTTCAATTTTCGTTTTTTAAATTTTGGGTTTTTCAATTTTTTGACTGCTTTATATTCGATTTCTCAGTTTTCTCGATGTTTTAACTTTTCAATTTTAAAATTTTAGGTTTTCCGATTTTTCGATGTCTCAGTTTTTGAATTTTTCAATATTTGGATTTTTAGATTTTTTATATTTCGGCTTCAATTATAGATTTTTCGATTTTTCGATTTTTCAGTTCTTCAATATTTTTTAATTTTCCAAATTTTAACGTTTCTAAATTTTCAGTTTTCCATTTATCAATCTATTTTTGATTTTCCCATTTCTCGACTGCCCAAAGTCTCGATGTTCCAGTTCTTCAGTTTTTCGATTTTTCAGGTTTTTGGTTTAAATCAATGTTTCGATATTTTAGGTTTGCGATTTGTCGACTTTACCGTTTTGACTTTTCGATTTTTCAATTTCTTCATTTTTTGTTTTCCCATTTTGGATATTTCGTTCAATTTTGTGATTTTTTTAGTTTTTCGATTCTTCAATTTATCTCCAATTTTTTTCTGTATTCAGCTTTTGGAATTTGTTAGTATTTCGACTTTTCGATTTTTCGAGTTCTGAATTTTTCGATTTCTCGACTTTTACTTTTCGTATTTTCAATTTTTCGCTTTTTAATTTTTAGATTTTTCAATTTTCGGTTGTTTTTGTACTTCGAATTCTCCATTTTTCAACTTTTCGATATTTTTAACTCTCCAGTTATTAAAATTTTCGGTTTTTCGTTTTCTCGAGTTTTCAGTTCTTTTTTTTTTTATTTTCCAATTTTTCGATGTTTCGATTGTTCAATTATCCGTTTATTCAATTTCTCGATTATTAAATTTTAGATTTTCAAATATTTGTTTTTTGATTTTTTTCATGTTTGAATTATTCAATTTTTTGTGATCTAAATTTACCGAGATTCGGATATTTAGATGTTTTGATTGTTTAGTCTCTTGATTTATCAATTTTTACACTTTTAACTTTTCGATTTTGGCCTATTTTGGTTTCTTAATTTTTCG